TGCGTAGATCTCAGCCTCACAGCAGGAGGTGAGAACACAGCTCTGGTCAGTGTCTCCCATGAGCAACATAGCGTGCTAAGATGCTAAGAGGGTATGCAAGGTCAGGTCGTGTGCAGGTCATCAGGTATATGAAGCAGCCAACAAGCTCTGGGTACGGGCCACTTGGCTCTACGGACTCATCCGAAGGCAGAGCTGAGAGTGAGTGGCGAGTAGACACAGGAGTGGCCTGAGGTGAGGAGTACGTGAAGCCGAAGCACTGAAGGACCTGCTGCACCATGTGTGACTGAGTCAGGGTAATGGTGCGCTGTGCTCTGTCACGGGTGATCTGCAAGCCAAGGTAGCTGCGCAGTTCACCCAGGTCTGTAAACGTGTGTCTCTTCTGCAGCTCGGACTTCACGTGGGCGAGTCGAGCAGTGTTAGTAGTGGCAAAAACCAAGTCGTCGACGTACACGAGGATGTAGAACGGCGGCAGAGAGGTGTCGGTGCGTAGAAACAGCGACGGGTCGGCAGTGGAAGGAGCAAACCCAAGATCCGTAGGCGTAGTCCTCAGTGTGTCATGCCACTCTCGTGGCGCGTGGCGGAGACTGTAGACTGGACGTCGGAGACTCCAGTGGGTACCAGGAGGGAACGACCTAGTGAAGCCAGGTGGGCGGCGCAGCCAGATCTCCTCGTGCAGGCTGCCCTGCAAGAAAGCTGTGCTGAAGTCGAGAGAGTGCAGCTCGTAGTCACGGTGAGCAGCAACGTGCAGCAGTACCCGAAGAGTGGTCATCTTCGGGGTGGGAGAGAAGGTCTGAAATTAGTCAACTCCGTGCCGCAGACTAAAGCCTCGAGCCACGTAACGCGCCTTCAAGCGGAGAACCCGGCGGCCGCTTCACCGTGAAAATCCACATGCCAATGACGATGTTCGCCCCAGGTGGGGGAACCTCGTCGACGTAGGTGCCTGTGGACTTCCTCGAAGCCATCTGTGCGTCCATGGCTGACTGCCACTGAGAGGAGTAGGGACCCTCGATCGCCTCAGCGTACGATCGAGGAGTCGAGATGTCTGGTGCATCCGGGTCTCCCTCAGGGGCAATCAGCGGGGACACGAGATGAGGCAAAGCAGTGGCAAAAGATTGGAGCTCCTCCTGCCTGTCCTCAAGGACGTCCGTGCTAAGAGCTCACCCACCCAGGACAGAGGTCAGACAGACTCAGACTGAGCAACAAGACTAGTGGCGTAGTCAAGACGACAGCGAGCAAAGAAGTCGACAAGCTCAGCCACTAAGGAAGACGCAGCAGTGGACTGAAAGGAAGGGTCAGTGACAACAGTGGCCAGGAGACGCGTGACAGTAGGGCTGGCAGCGAGAAGAGACTCAGACTCAGGGTCAGGAAGGACAGGAAGAGAGGACTCTGGAGGAGACGGCAACGGGACACGCAGAGGAGCAGTGGAAGGACGCAGGGCCATCTGGTGTGTGCCTGGAACCGCAGGAGGACGCGGAACACGACGACTAGTGCGAGAATTACGAACAGGTGATGCAGGACGAGACGCAGGCTCACGACGCTGAGCAAGGCCTCTAGTAGGACCAGTGTAGGGAGAAGGAGCACGAAGAGGGGAGGCGGGCAGTAACTGTGACTGCGACTGGACGGGCAGTGGACACTCTAAGGGAGGAGCAGGACCAGTAGAGGGCGGGAGACCAAGAACCTGCTCAAGGAGCGGAACAAAGTACGGCCTCGGCCGCGTAGCGCCTCCCGAACCAGCAAGGACGGCACCAGTACCCCAAGCAGCAGCACCAGCGCCAGCAGCACCTCTAGCTCCAATAGCGTCAGCTCCAGCACCCTCAGACGCACCAGCGCCAGCAGAAAACCCAGCGCCAACACCCCCAGTAGCTCTAGCTCCAGCAGATCCTGTAGTACCAACTCCAGCTGGACCGGCATCTCCAGCACCGCCAGCAGCTCCAGAAGGACCAACTGTAGCAGCTCCAGCAGCACCCCAAGTCCCAGCAGTTCCAGTACCACCAATACGAGCACCTGTGGAACGAGCAGCAACAGTAATGCCTCCAGCTCCAGCAGCGCGACTCCAGCGCCGGGCAAACCACTCGCGCAATTCCTACGGAGAGAGTGGCTCCCGCCTCGACGAAGCACCGCCGGCGGCCACACGAGTAGACCCAGCGCCCCCAACTCCGCACCCCCAGGCTCCGCACCCCCAGGATCCGCACCCCCAGACTTGGCACCCCCAGGCTCAGCACCCCCAGTCTCAGCACCCCTCGGCTCAGCACCCCCAGGCTCAGCACCCCCAGACTCAGCACCTGTAGACCCGGCACCCGCAGGCTCAGCACCTCTAGCAACACCAGTGTCAACAGCTACCTCGACAAGCTCGACAGCGTCTACCTGGGACACAACAGAAGGGGCAGGACCCTAAGGGGGGAGGGGGTCTACTGGGGGAGGACCTGGCACAAGGAAGAGCGGCTGCGGGGGGAGGGGCGCAGCGCAATAGGGGAAGAGACGGTAGTAAGGCACCGACTCATCAAAGGTGACGTCCTGGGAGGACAGAACACGACGAGAGGTGGGGTGGTAAAACTGCCACCCACGCACGTCAGGGGGAAGCCGAGGAAGACGCAAGGAACAGCACGGGGGGACACCTTGTCCGCAGACAAGTCGTAGACAAACGCCCGAGATCCCCAGACCCAAAACGCAGACGCATCGCCAACCTTCCCCGTCCACCGCAAGTTGGGTGAGGTCTCTGGCAAGGAGACCCAGGTCTTAAGGTTGAGCTGATGCGCGGCGTACTGTACCGCAAACGGCCACAGAAAATGGGGGGCAGCCGCATGGATCATGGACGTACGAGCGACGTCCATGACCATGCCAATGCGGCGCTAAGCAATCCCATTTTGCTGTGGTGAGACCGGAAGCGTGAAGGTCTGGCGGATGCCCTGTGCACGACAGAAGGTTCCCACACGGGCAGAGGAAAACTCCCCGCCTCTGTCCGAATGCAGACGTAGAACAGGAAAGTCCGAGCCGAAACTCTCTCTGAGCTGGAGATGAGCTACGTGGATCCAGTCGATCAACACCTCAATGACGTCACCCTTGCTGCGCAAGGGGAAGACTGTGGTGTAATGCGAGTAGTCGTCAACCACCAACAGGAAGTAACGCTCGTGACCCTGTCCACGGACGCGGGCGGGGCCCCACACATCCATGTGGAGAGTCTGCAGCGGAGCCTCTGTCGGAGGAAACTCGGAGGAGTGAGGGGCGGCGCGCTGTCGCCCCTCGACGCAAGGGACGCAGGTAGGGGCAGGCCCCGGAGGTAAGGGAGGGAGAGACCGGGGGAGACCAGAGACAAGGACACGGGAGGCCATGCCTCGGAGACGAGGCAGGGAGGGGTGACCAAGGCGGTGGTGCCAGAGGAGAGTCTGATGGGACAGGAGACGACACGAGCAGGGAGCAGACTCAGGACCAGACCTGGACGCTGCAGCAAACACCTGACTTGACGCAGCTACCTGGCCAGACTCAACAGCCGGAGGAGACTCAGTAGTAAGGGTGTACAAGCTCGACCCTGGCGGACGGGTGAACCTGGCCAAGTGTCGGCCTGTCCGAGCACACGTGCAGTGGGTCACTCGCTGACTCGCAGGAGTGAACGGGTCAACCCCCCTATCCTGTAGGTCCGTTCCACTCACAAAGTTCGTAGAGAACGAGGGGAGGTAGAGACCTGACAGGGTGCCAGAGGGGGCTGCCGGGCACGGTAAGACGGTGGAGAAGCTAGAAAGGACAGGACCCCTAGAGGGGTCCGCCAGGGAGACCGCAAGCGGCCGACTGAGCGGCGTAAGAGTGGTGCGGTCTTGAAAGAAGGAGCGGGACGCAGCCGAGTCAAGGGTGAAAGTGTGTAACGCCTGAGCCGACGTAGTACCTGAGAGAGTAGACTCACCAGCACCTGGGGTAGCAGACGCACTAGCACCTGGGGCAGTAGAGGCACTAGCACCTAGAGCAGTGGCCTCAATGCCCGGGTCAGGCGGTAAACACTATCATCAACAGCATACATGGCAGCAAGAGTAGCATCAAAATCAAGATCAAAGATAGCAACCCCCGCCCTAGACAGCTCTCCCTAGTGAGGGATCTCAGAGGCCCCAGGGAATTGGTGACGCCACGCGTCCGTCAGGCGGCCGAAGAAGCGCTGGGTGGAGTGTGGTGTTAAAGACTAAGGATGGAGTCTACGAAGATTAGGTGCCTAAAATTCTCAAAATCGTTGGTTTAGAATTCTGGACAGAAAAGTCGAGTTCACAAGAAACGCCGTCGACGAAACGTTCACGATCAAAACTTCACCAAACTCAGATATTTTGTAGCTCTACTCCGTGGCTACAATTCCCAAGTTAAATCATACAAGAAGGTGAAGTATTTCTTGAGTTATCAATTTCGGCGCACTAGGGGGTATGCTGCCATAGAATCTTAACTCAATCACACGAGTCTCACACAAGTTCACAATTACTACACAAGAGAGTTAGAGTAGCACTAAACCAGGTGGGATGGGATGAGGAGGACGAGAGGGAAGGTCCTAAGAGAGTCCCCAACCAAGGAAACCCCATGCCACATTATTCGTTTCTCCATAGGCAACCCCACTTTCACTTTTGTCACTTTCCCAACCCATGCCATCCACCTTAACCCAACTTGGCCACACTTGCCAACCTCGTTTGGTTTCTCTCAACCAGTTGGCAGCATCTACAGTGATGTTGACGAATTTCCCAACCCCCAAAAGTCTGTACCCCATATTGAGTCAACCCCACAACTTCCCATAGTCACCACAACCAAATACAAAAAACATTTCTTGTTCGTGCTCCGATTGAAGTGATACTTGGTTCGTCGGAAAGCTCTTGAGCAGAGGAGTCACTTCAGATATCTGCTCAAGCAAATAACATTCACACACACTCAGAAAAACCAAACCACATCAAACACAAATTCTTGCACACGCTCACACCACGCATGCAGCGCACGAACACATGATGGGAGGCAGACAGACGTGAATGCATATGATTGCATCATACAACATGCGGGCCCCCGCACTGCTCACCACAGCGGTCGCCGGTGCGGAGAACGTAGGTGCAGGGACCTGTACCCCCACCGCGCTGACGCGCAGCGTACCACTCATGAAGCTGCTGAGGGGACAGGATCTCACGACTGCTCTGCTGCTGCTGGCACGTACCACCACCGGAGCCACTCCTTTGCGCAGAGCCGCGACCAGGTCCACTGCTTCCGCCGCCGCCTCCGCCACCTCCGCCGCCTCCGCCGCCTCCACCACCTCCGCCGCCTCCGCTCCCTCCTCCACCGCCGCCGCCTCCTCCGCCTCCACTGCTGCCACCAACACCTCCACCCCCGCCACCACTCCCACCACCACCCCCACCCCCTCCATTGCCTCCACCACCACCTCCACCGCCCCCGCCAGCCCCTCCAGCGCCCTTGCCCCCCTTGCCCTTGCCGGTGCGGCGTCTCCCGCTTGGGGCAGACGATGCGTCGACCGACTCGAAACCAACGAGGTTGGCCGCAACAGCAGAGGCAACAGAGGGCAAGAGGGGGGAGGGGGAACAACCCTCAAAGACGGGGGTGCAAGGGTCACCACAAGAGGCTCCTACAGCGACTATGATCTTCTCCGCTGCGAGGAGGCCCTTCTCGAGGAGGTCAACAGTGAGAGTGGTGGGGCAAACTGAGAGGAAGTGGTCCCTGACTACGCGAAGAGAGTCAGGGAGCCGGTTGACTATGTAGTAGAGGGTAATGTACATGGGGGGGGGGGGGGGCTCTTGGCGCACAGCTCAGCAGGAAGTGCAGCGCGGTATCGAGTGTCACTAGTGCGGAGGTGCGTAATGAGGTCAGCGATTGTGCGAAAGGCAGCAAGGTTAGGGAAGAGGTACGGTAGCATGAGGCGGCTCAGTGCAGGAGTGGCAGGGGAAGAGTAGCGTGCAACTACAGCGTCGTACAAGGTGTGAGCACTCTTGTACTGGCTAAAGTGTGCACGCTCAGTGGTCGGTAAGTGGCGTCGCACATCAAGGCGAGAAGCAGCATCGCGTGTGGCCCACTGTGAGCGAACAGTGCTGTGAGCAGTAGCAGGCGGGGCAGGAGAGACACCAGAGGTGAGATCGAACAGAGAGAGTCTGTCAGCCCTATCGCACTAAAGAAACAGCTGGAGGTCATCGACCCAGACCTCAAAGTCAACGGCACGGCCCTCAGCATCAAAAGGTAAGGATACTGGGGGTAGCGATGACTGCAGTGGCCTAGCAGGAAGTGAGCTCACCAGTCCGAGGAAGGAGGGCCGGGGAGCACAGGTAGGAACACCAGCGGCTCGACAGTAGGGCGGCTCGGCTGCTGGGCGGCTCAGCGGCTCGGCTGGTGGGCGGCTCGGCTGCTCGGCGGCTCGGCTACTGGGCGGCTCGGCTGCTGGGCGGCTCGGCTGCTCGGCAGGTGGGCGGCCCGACTGCTGGGGGGCTCGGCAGCTCGGCGGCTCGGCTGGTGGGCAACCTGGCTGCTGGGCCGTTCGGCGGCTCGGTCGCTTGGCGGTAGAGGCGGCGACGTGGCCGCGAGGGGAGGGCGACGGGGCCGCAGGTGACGACAACGGGGCCGCACCTTGCGGCGATGGGGCCACAGGTGGCGGCGACGGGGCCGCAGGTGGCGGCTGCGTGGCCGTAGTTGGGGGCGACGGGGTTGCAGGTGGCGGCGACGGGGCCGCTGGTGGCGGCGACGGGGCCGCAGGTGGCGGCGACGGGGCTGCAAGTGATGGCGACGGGGCCGTAGGCGGCGGAGACGGGGCCGCAGGTGGTGGTGACGCGGTCTCAGAGGGGCCGCAAGGGGCCTAGACAGGGCCGCAGAGGGGCCGCAAGGGGCCTAGACGGGGCTGAAGAGGGGCCGCAAGGGGCCTGAACGGGGCGGCGATGGGGCCGTAAGGGGCCGGAAAGGGCACCGCGAGGGGCCGAAAAGGGGCTGCGCGAGGGCTGTAAGGGCGGCGTGAGGGGCCGTAAGGGGCCATAAGGGCATCACGAGGGGCCGTAGAGTGCGGCGCTAGGGGCCGTAAGGGCGGCGTAAGGGGCCGTGAGAGGGGCCACTCAGGGCGGCTCGAAGGTAGGGAGGGCACACAGAGCGCGACTCGGGCAGGAGTGAAGTGCGCTCTGGGCAGGAAAAAAAAATATCGTGGTGGGCCCTAGGTAGCGTTCCCACTAGGGAACCTACTCGATACCATGATAAGAAACGAGGAATGAGTGCATTGAGCAGAATGAGGAGTACAAGTAGTAAACCCTAAAGTGTTGTACCCCATATGAACTGCCCCACTACAGCCTACACATACTATAGCATATATGCCTGACAGCCCCTTTATTCCCCCTACAGGCCCCATTCTCACCATCTGCCAGGCCCATCTAGCCCTCACCGTTCTCATCCTATATCCGCTTTCTTTCCTCTGACCCTTCTCACGACCCTTCTTCCCACTATCCTGCCTCTCCTCTCCTTGCTCCCCACCCCATTCCCCCTCATCTGCCACGCCCGCCCAGCAGGCCCTCACCTTCCTCAACCCTAACTCTGCTTTCTCGTGACTCATGTTTTCTCGTGACTCCCTCTCACCTCCTCTTCTTGCTCGCCCTCCCTCGCCCTCCTACTACCCCCTCTCTCTGCTCTCCTTCAATTGTCTCTTGTTCCCTCCTTAGTCCATCCCTGTCCTTCCTCTTACCTCCCCTCCCGGAACCAACAAGCCCAATCCTGTAAGGTCCTATCCTACAGGGCCTGTAGGGTGGGGAATGTGTCAGATTACCATCCTCATTGTAACGTACATCAATCCTATAAGCTTAGGTTAGAGATAGCCACCCAAACTTAGTTTGGATGTAGAACTAGGGCTGACCCTAGTTTGGGGATGAACTCAAACCTTGGCTCCCAATAATGTTGAACCACTTGGTCAACATTATTTGTCCCCCCAATAATCCATCAACCCAACTTATTGGTGGGGGGCAATTTTGTTGGCTTGGTTCCAACCAAACACCTCCCCCTTAAGCACTACTATGTATACCCCCATCCCTCCTAATGATATCAATGGTTCTTCCTCACGTTTTCTCACATGGTAATCAGAGCTACAGCGGTTAACACCGTCTCTCGTTCCTAAGGACCACACCTAACGCGTTCTGTATCACGCCCCCCTCTCGCACACGGCTCTTTGCTGCAGTTCGCGCCTAAGTTGCGCTATTGCGCCTTCACGGCCCCCCTCCCCCCTCGTACTCACGCACTCTCCCGTGCCTCCCCCGCACAAGTTACGATCGGCAGCCCGCTCCCTCCCTCCTCCCCTCCCCTCCCTCGCCGCGGCGCATCCCGCCGACGAGGGCGGACGCGACCACCGCGGCGCATCCCGCCGACGAGGGCGGTCGCGTCCACTGCGGCGATGTCCGACGGACGGCCACCCGCGGACGACGAGGCACATCCGCGGACGGACGTGCACCCGCGGGCGACACAAACGCAGCTGTGGGTAACCCGTCGCCGCCGCACGCAACGTGACCGCACCACCCGTCCAGGTGGTGTTGTCCCCTTTGACCGCACCCGCCCTCAAGCCGGTGTCAACAATCCCTCCCCCCCTCCTCTTCCTCATGGCGGACGACTCCACTCCCACTGAGCTCGGAACCATTGACAAGCTCGAGCTTCTCCATGACACTACGGCCGTGAACTGGGCGTCGTTTCAAGATACGCTTCACACGCACCTTGGCTCCGTCATCATTCAAGACTACTGCCTTCTTGATGTAGTCCTCAAGCACCCTAATGGCCTCCACCTGTTCTCCCCCCTCCCCTTGCACCTCCTCCCCCTAACACCCCTCCTCCACCCGAGCCTCTTCCCGACCCCCCATGTGCCCCAGTTCATGATGACAACCCGGATCGCTGGGGGGCCAACTTGAATGCCTACAACAAGCTTCGCGACACTTAGACCCTCTGGTGTGAGGCGCACCGTGTTGCGGAAGAGGCACACGCTGATGATACTGCACGCATCCTCTCCTACGCTCAAGACGAAAAAGACTATGCTGAGGAGCTTTGCAAGGTCCACAAGGATGTTGAAGCATGGCGTATTGCTGATCGTCGTGCACTCGCTATCATCTTCTCCTGCATCCCCTCTCACCTCAAACACGACCTTCGTCCCACCTTCTCCTCTGGACTCCGGAAAACCCTCTCTACTCAGCAGGACCGTCAGGACCTTCGCTCCCTCCTCGCCCTCTTTCGCAAATTCCAAGACATCACCCTTGACTCCTCCCCCACTGCTGCTACCTACACCCGTCGCCTCATTGACAATGCGCAACGCCTCAATGACTGGGGCATTGTCATCTCTGAGTCCCTTCTTACTGCACGCATTCTCGACTGCCTTCCTCCCACATATGACACCTACTACATCACCTTCACCTCTCGCTACCGTCATCCTCATCCTGTGGTTGACACCATCGGGTGGCTTCTTAACAATGAAGCGGACATTCAACGTGACTCCACCACCGTGAATGCAGTCCAGACCCGAAAAGCTACCACAGTCAACCACAACAGCGGAGGAGGTAGCGGCCCAGGCGGCGCCAATAGTGGTGGTGGTGGTTGTGGTGGTGGCCAAGGCGGAGGACGCGGTGGTGGTCGCGGTGGTGGCCGTGGCGGACGCGACGGACATCCCTCACCTCCCCACCGTGCCAGTATATCATCCTCTATGGCTCCAACAAAGGTCAGCCATGCTCTCAGACCACTCACCCCATTGACACGTGCTTCAAAGCCCTCAATGATGAGTAGTTTGCCCGTGGCAACGTTGGCACTCCACCTCGCTAGAGCACTATTTTCCCACGCCCCTCCATCCATGACATCCGCACCCTCCCTGCCTACCAACCCTCTCCTCCCAACCTTCACAATGTCCTTACTCAGCATCTCCCATCTCACATCCTTCAACAAGTTCAACATCTTCTCCCCTCCACCTCCACTCCCACCACTCCCACTCCCACAATTCTCACTCCTCCACCTACACCTTCGCGTCCAGCCCCTCCCACTCACTACTCTCCACCCTATGCTGGCTGGCCTTACCCTCCTTACCCACCTCCCGGATATGGCCATGGCCCCCCGGCATCCGCTACTAATGCTGTTGAATAGACCTCCTCCTCCATCAACCCTCCTAGTTTTACTCCATTTCCTTCTGCTGGATTCATAGGACATGTTAGCACTGATCTTGCTGATTCTCTGTATGCCCATGCTATTAATGAGTCCCTCTTCCAGTATTTTGCCTACTCCTCCTCCTCAGCATGCCTTGAGTTTATCCTTGACAGTGGAGCCACACACACTGTCCTTCGGGATGCAGGCACACTGGTACCTCTCCGCACTCCCTCCACTATCCACGGAGCTGACTCCAGCTTCACCATCACAAGTCGACACACCTCCACCCTCCCTTATCCCATCTTCCCCTCTGGTATAGTCACAGGTCTATATATCCCCTCCCTACGCAACAATCTGGTCGCACTTGGTGACCTCACCAGGTTTGCCCTCTTCCCTGGTCATGCACGTCACTGCGACCTCTTTCATACCTCCATTGGCCGCTTCATCTGCCGCATTACCCTCTGCCCTCACACCAACACGTACACATACCGCACCCCTCGCACCTCCATCCACCACCTCATCGCCCCCACGGCACCCCTCCCCCTTCCCTCACCTCCCCTCCTCCCCTCCCACCCCCTCCCCTTCTCCCATCCCCTCCCCACCCCCCACTCCCCCCCCCACCACTCCTCCCACTACCCCCCCCTCCCCCACCCCCTAATGTCACTGTCGTGACCTCACCCACCCCGCAGTTCTCCTTCACCATGGATTGGGTCATCCCAACTCTGCCACCCTCCGTCAAACTGTCTCCACCAAACTTCTCGACGGACTCCCCCTCACCCTCCCCTCTCTGCTCAGTATGCGTTGAAAGCAAACTGAAACAGGCCCCCCACAAGAGTCATCCCTCCTTTTCTCCCCAGCCTCTTGATCTCGTCCACATCGAGCTCTGGGGCTCCAACCCTTCCCCCTCCAGGCAAGGTCATAAATACCTACTCATCCTGGTGGATGACCACAGCCGCTACTCCTCCGTCTCCCTCCTTTGCTTGAAGGCAGAGGCCCCGGGTTTAGGGTGAGTGAGTTCCTGTCTCCCTACTACTCAAACGCCCTGTCTCCTGCTTCCACTCTGATGGCGGTGGTGAGTTCCTTAACAACATGCTTTCATTTTACTGCACCACTCGTGGCATTATTCACACCTACACCCTACCTGATTCCCCTCAGTAGAATGGCGTGGCGGAAAGTAGGGTCCGTGGGGTCACCAAGACTGCTCGATGCCTCATGGTCCATGCCTTTTTGCCCGCCCTCTCTCTAGGGCTATGCCATCCTCCACGCTGCCATCCTCACTAACTTGTACCCTCATCCCTCCCGGCCCACCACCACTCCCACCGCACTCTGGACATCCAAGAAGCCCGACATCACCCCCCTGCGCGTGTGGGGTTCCATAGCGTATGTTCTCATACACTCTGTCGACCGCTCACGCAAAGCTGGGAAGCTAGCCTCCCGCGCTCTCCCCTGCATTTTCCTTGGTCACAACACCTCCTCCCCGGACTATCTCTTCCTCCATCCCCCCTCAGGTCGCCTCATTCGTAGTCGGGATGTGGAATTCGATGAAGCCCACCCGTACTACACCTCCCCCAAAGTCCCTAACCCCCTCCCTCTAACCACGCATCCCTTCCTCTGGACTGACACCATCCCCCCCCCACCCCCTCTCCCCTCCCCTTCCCTTCTCCCCCCCCCCACCATTGTCCCCCCTGCACCCCCACCCCCTCCCCCCTCTCCTCCCGCCTCATCAAGAGACATCCTTGACCCCAACCACCCTCCCTCCCCACCCTCTGCCCCTCCCCCTCCCTCCCCACCCACTGCCCATCCCCCTCCCTCCCCACCCGCTGCCCCTCCCCATCCCTCCCCAACCCCTCCCCCTCCCCCTCCCTCCTCACCCGCTGCCCCTCCCCATCGCTACCCACCCCCTCCCCCTCCCTCCCTCCATGCACAACATTCCCCACCTCCCCCCTCCCCACGCCCTCCCCCACTCACTCCACCTCCATCCTCTCGGCCCCTACTTCCCACTCCCCCTCTCATACTTTGCCACTACCCGCACACCCGCTCAACGGTCCCCGTTCTTGGTACCCCAAGGTCCACCCCCCCCTCCCTCCAGTCTCTCACATCCATCCCCCTTCTCCGCCACCATAGCACCTCCCCTCCCCCCCGCATCAGCCTCTCAGGTTCTCTCAGCACTCGCGCTCCCGTACCCCTGCCCCTCACGGCAACACAGTGAAGTCGAGCTGCAATGCAGCTGTTTCCCTGCCCAGACCCTCAGCGCATTAGAGCACCAGTGCAACTGTGTCCCCGCATCGGCCCGACCCTCCAGCGCAGCTGTCTTGCAACTCCACCGCCTCCTCTTCCTCCTCCTCTCACTCCGGACCTCTCTGAAGACTCTCACAATGAGCTTATGTTCATCCACCTCTCACCCACCATCGCCCCCGTCATTCGCACAATGGTTGGCACCACTGTCCTTCTCTTCTCCACCACCCCCACCATCTACGAACCCACCACCTATGAGCAAGCACTTGCCTGTCTTGATGCACCTCTCTGGATCGAGGCCATGGTCAAGGAGAGCAGCGCCTTCATCAGAAACCGCTCGTTTCTCGACGTTCCTCGTCCCTCTAAGCACAACGTAATCAAAGGCAGGTGGCTTTTTCGAGTAAAGCTACTCCCTGGCGACGCTCCAGTCTACAAGGCTCGATATGTGGCAAAAGGCTTCACACAGACCTATGGCTCAGACTTCTTCAACATCTACTCACCCATCGCCACTCCACCTATCATTTGCGTGTTCTTGGACTTTGTTGGCAGACGCAGGATGATTCTTCACTCCATGGAAGTCACCACCGCCTTTCTGCAAGGCGACCTTCATGAGCTCATTTTCCTGGAATGTCCAAAAGGCTTCCACGCTCCTCACGACCCTACCACTGTTTGGAAGTTGCTACGCCATGTCTACGGGTTCAAACAAGCACCTCGGGAATGGCACGCCAAACTCTCCTCCACCTTTCGCGCACTTGGCTTTCGCCCCTCCCGTGCCGCCTCCTGCCTCTTCCTACGCCTCACCCCATCACCCTTCTTCATCCTCGTCTACGTCGACGATATGCTGCTGGCTGCTAACACAGCTGCTAAACTCTAGGAGGTCAAGGATGAGATGCAGACACGCCTCGCCTGCAAAGACCTGGGGGAAGTTCGCAACTACCTCGGCATGGAGATCACTCGCGACCTCACAGCCAATACCATCACCCTCTCTTAGTCTTTTTACATCAAGAAGATTCTCGAGAGGTTTGGCATGGAAACCTGCAAACTCATCCCCACACCACTTGCATTCGGGCATCGGCTCTCCCCCCCCACCACTCCCGTCACCTCCCCTCATCCCTATGCGGAACTTGTTGGGGCCCTGATGTTCGCCATGGTCTGCACTCGTCCCGGCCTTGCATATCCAGTCAGTGTTCTGGCGCAGTTCGTTGGCACCGGCAGGCATGGTGAAGAGCATTGGAAGGCGGCCATGCGTGTTCTTCGCTACCTTCAGGGCACGAAGGACCATGCCCT